TCATGGAGTTGAAAAAAGCATAAAATACTATCATTACGCGTTCGAAGCTATTAAAGCAACTGTAGAAGCAGGATCTGTTGCCTATAATATTAATGGGGTTGAAGCCCTTGTGAAGAATATGTAAGATGTCACTGAAACGAATACTCACCTTAGAAAGCAGCAAAAAGTGAAGTAAAACACCCTTGCCGTAGGTGTGTCTAAAAACGTTTCAACCACGCCCACTTGTTAGCCGTGGAGAGCGCGTGCTTGGGTGTGGGTCCTTGCGCGATTGCTTGTAACTATCCCGCGTTTCGAAATTAATGCTGCGTCTTTTTGATTGGTTTACTTGTTTAATTGTTTAACTCATTTAATTATTGTATCTTTGTTTGTACTGATGCATATGTCTCTGTTTGTATTAGGGCAAATGCGATTGCAGCCGCATTTCTTGCTGGCACGAGCCAGCAAGAAATGCAAGCCAATTCAGACAACTCGTCCGACCGCCCCTTCCCTCATTTCAAAGGGAAGAGGGGAAGCCCCTGTTTAAGGCTTCGCCGGCGTTTTTCTTCGCTTTTTTATATTAGCGATCAACTCGCCATTTATGACTTCAATATCGACCGTTTTTACCCCGAACTCGATCTAGAATTGTTGCTTGAACTCTTGGTGCTCGACAAAATGCGCCATTAGAAGCTGCGTGCCAGTGTGTAGCTCTCTCAAGTAAGTCGATATGATCAGGAGAGGGAGAAAAGAAGTTCTTCAAATATGTAGAAGAATTCTATTTGAGGGCGAAAGAAACTCCTGCCTGATATTGTACTGCCAGGTAATATAATCTTATGAAGTTTGAACCATACCTAGAAAGAGCTGCTACAGTATATGCTGTGTGTTACTGTTCAAGTTATCACAGCTTCCACAACTCTCCTCTATCTGTGCGGTTTTGTGCCCGCGGGATTTGTCGATATCTTGGAGGATGGAACTGTGGCAGTCTTTGAGCGCTACTGCAAATCCACGACTACTGGTAAAAGACGACTGCAAGCAATTGGCGCTTCAATTAGCTTGCCTGAGCTCTAAGACCATAAATGTCTTCCCGATTCAGGAGTCATTCTCGGTACTCCATTTTGTTCACCGTGTTTGGTCGCTACACATATTTTGCTGTCTCGGTGGTTTCTGATGGGACTCGGAGTGTCAAGACTTGGAACATACTTCGAAATGGATGGCTTCAGCGCTTGTTACATGTAGAAGAGAAAGAATGATCGTCTTCGTAATATGGAAGACTGTCAGGATCTTTCCACACCTATTAGCGAGAACACCATAAGCACGTTTTACGAGAATGGATTTGTGGCAACCTAATAAAAACCTAATCGACCTTATACTCCATCTCAAA